TTATAAAAAATTTTATGTTAATGGGTTATATAAATAATAAAATATTAAAATAGATTATTAAAAATAAAATATAATAATAAAAATAATAATAATAATAATAATAATCATAATAAATTTGTAATAATAAAAAAAATAATAATCATATTAATAATGATGATGATGATGATGATGATGATTATAAAAATATAATAATAATAATAATAATAATAATAATAATAATAATAATGTCATTCTCCCTATTCTATAAATAACTGCAGTGAAGGCTCTTTTGCTCAAATCATACAACTTAAAAATTATTAAATAAATCAAAAATCCCCCCAACCACCCGCCCCGATCCCAGCTAAGATTTTAGAGTAGAGAGAGATTAATCAATCGACATGTCAAAAAAGTTAAACCTGAATTGCATCAAGGAATATAAAAACCCCAAACGAAATATTACAAAAGTAAAAGTGTACATTTGGTATACAAGCAGATTTTGAGATTAAAACCATCGTAGGTATTTGAAGCTTTAATATACTGTTCTTGTGGATTCACTCTCGTTAATGAAAATGCAATGGCTTTACAATGTCATGCCGTAATCCTGCAGTACATATATGTCGTTTTTTTCCTCTTCTTTTTTTATTTTAGACCACTGTGCTATATTTCATTAGAAAACAACTGGAAAATAAAGTAAAATACAAAAGCAATTTATAGATCATTTCTCACAATACGTGCCCAGCTTCTTCTTCTTCTTTTTATTATTATTTTTTTAATCCCATCTCTCTGAGAAATGTATGGCTTTATGCTGACCCTTAAAGAAATGAGCTATGATCAAATTTTGTTTACGGTGCTGCGAAAAAGCTTGACACATCAGCAATCACAACGTGTACATTATGCGAAGCAGTACGAAATAGCATGAATTGATTATGTGCAACCATAGATACTGCACTCGGGCACCCAAAGCCACTCCATTTCTGCTGAAAAACAAGAGCGCCAATCTGAAAAATACAACAGGGTTCAGTTCACCAGCGAGCGCCAGTAAAGAAAACTAAAGACATGGCTGCAACTCTCGTATGAAAGGACAAGACACAATACAGTCAATGAATCCTTACACTGTAGAAACCTCACCTAAATATGTGTGGTGACAACATGGGGGCGGTGTGGGGGGGGGGGGGTCTGAAATTAAATTAGGATATTTTGGTTCTGCCCGTTTGTAGTTACACTCTAAAAACATGTTAATAATGGCAGTTTAAAAATGTTCCGTTTGTTCCCTCAAAAGTAAAATCAAGGCCTCTGTGTCACTGGATGTTGAATTTAATAGTTTGCGAACGATTTTTTTTCATTTTTGTCTTCGGATATTTTATCTCTTAAGAAATGACAGACATGCTTCGACAAATATGATACAGTCTTTTTTTTTTTTTGAGTGTTTTCCTTATTTTTCGTTTTCCTTTAGGTGAACTATAATGATCTCTCTGCACTGAGGAAAAACGATTCAGTGGATTTCCTACATTTTCAGTTTTAATGTAAGTGGTTGCGAACAATTCATTCATTCATTCATTCACTATTGGCTTAGTCCAAGCCCCTATAGCGCATGTTTTTGGACTTTGGGGGAAACCGGAGCACCCGGAGGAAACCCACGCCAACATGGGGAGAACATGCAAACTCCACACAGAAATGCCAACTGACCCAGCTGGGGCTCGAACTAGAGACCTTCTTGCTGTGAGACCACAGTGCTAACCAATGAGCCACCTTGCCGTCCGTGCAAACAATTAATTTGGGCTAAATTTAAACAAACAAAATAGGTTAGGCATTAATTACTTACTTACAGGGCTGCTTTATATCGACGTTAATATTTAGTCGCACCATGTTGGTGTTTTGAAACACAGAATTTTTACAAGGTGGGTCATTAGCCCATCGCTCAATCCCCAATCTGGAAGACCAGGACAAACATTAAGGCCGTACTCACACTAGGTACAGTTGCCTCGAACCGGGCCAAAGCACACTTGTCCCCCCTCCCGTCTCCCCCGACGGCCCGCTCTCACACCATATCGGGCCTCGGCACGCTTACGTCATCTCTGCTGCGCTGTTCAGAAGCGCTCTCTATGGCAAGCCTTTTTAGCATTTAAATCTTTGTTCTGACTCCATAAATATATTTCGAGATATCTCTAATTATATTTTGACTAGTCATAATTATAATTCGACTAGTCAGAATAACAATTAGAGATATCTCGAAATATATTTATGGAGTCAGAACAAAGATTTAAATGCTAAAAAGGCTTGCCATAGAGAGCGCTTCTGAACAGCGCAGAG